CTCCATTGCAGAATGCCAAGCCTTGCATGTGGCACGGATGCGAGCACGATGTGGGATGGGAAACTCTTCGCTGATCTTTGCGAGGAGATCCGGTGGGAGCGACGTCCAATCGGGGCTGTGCATGGTGGTTTCTACCTCCGCTACCGGCGGTTCTTCTTTTCATTATATACGACACGAATACATTTGGGAGAGCGCTGGAATCGGGATGAGGACTCGGAACCGAAGACGTATGCATGATGATTATTGAACGTAAGGCAATCTTTGATTTCCACTTTGAGACCGAGCCAAAGTTGTTTGAGCATAAAGGGGCAGACTTTTTGGTTTCTATCGGTGATCCAAACACATAAATTGGAATGGATACACGCTTGACTTAACATATTTTCTATTATACTCTTTTATCCGATTTGATAAAAAAAGATTTTATAGCAGCTATAAATATCTCTTTTTTCAGAGAGTTTTAAAAGTTATATTAAAATTTTTATACTTATAAAAGTGAAACATTTAATCCCATTGTTTTAATAAAAAATTTTATTTTTATTCATATAAAATTATTTTTTAATCGATATACCAATATAAAATTAAAATATAAAAAATAATTAAATATAGGAGGTACTCTATAATTATCCCGTTTTCCATGTAGAAAGCACTTTACTATTTTTATTTTTTATTTTATATTTACCCTATTTACAGTTCCTATAGAACTCTCTTTCCAAAGTCAAAGGTTTCTTGCTGATGAAATATCATTTATTTCTTTCCTTCCTATTCCACTTTACTCTCATTTATTTATTTTTTTTATCTTGTACTGATTCTCCCTAGGTATCATTTACGTGCCTTTCCCCTTCTCTTTATTAATAAATATATTTATCATGATGCTTATTTTAATTGAGTTGAGGTGATTGCATTTGACTGAATCTCTTATAAAAAATCTCTCTAGGGAGAGAGATAGAAACTACTTAAAAAATTTACATTTGAATCTATATAGATATGAAAGTAAAACATCTATCTCTATTTATCTAAAACTATCAGTTTTACTAATGAAAGTATAAAAATAATAAATAAAAAGATAATTTTAATGGTCAATTGGTGATGATAAATGAAGTTGGTAGTGACGGAGTGATCCCATTAAGGGTCACAGATAATTATTGTAGATAAAGAGAGAGAGTGGCAATGAGAGTTGAGAGCCTCTGCATTGGTGTCGGCATTAGTGCAGTTATCAAGCAATGCGTTGACACAATTGTCGAGCGACGAAAGAGTCGCTTAGCATCTGCATCAGCATCAATGGCACCTATGACTAGCAATCGCTCGCCCTTCAGATCTACAACTATCAACAATGATGTTGTCGTCCGTCATTACTAACTAAAACGTTAAAATTACTAGTTACAGGTGCCCTATAAGTCAATCACGTGAGTGATGACATGTGTGATACATTGAATGATCTTTTTAGTTATTATTATTATGTCATTTTATTACGTTATATTGATGATGAATATATATATTGTGATGTTCTTGGATCATGATGAGATCATGATAATAGATCAATTCGCCTATAAATATAAACCATAAATATTTCATATCATAAGTTTCTCAAGAGGGATATCAAGATAACTAGACAGACCAGTGTGCTATACACCCATCCACATGATAAATTCAGTTGGTCTCATAGCTACTTGTGTGGGGACATTAGGGATATAGTGTAGGTGTTCATTGGAGAATGAGTTCACTGAATGATCCGTTTACGGAACGCTGGTTAATTAATGCTACCTCATCGTCAAATAGCAAATTCATAGTCCTAGTTATGTGTCCGATCCTTAGACTTGAGATACCAAGGATACTCTGTATAAATATTTCACTCTTTGATACCAGTTTTATAGGTCTAGAAGTCTTAGATCTAGCACAATCGGTCATCAGGAGTGGTAATCAATTTTACGAGGGTAATTGAGTGTCAATAAAGGCCTATTTACTCTCAGTATCATGAGAGAAATATCTTGCACTTTCATTTAAGTAAATCATTGACCATGGTCAATCGGATCGTGATGAATCTGATAAATATGAGATTTAGATTGAGAGTAAATGAGTTTTCCAATAGAATTTGATTAGAGTGTGACTCTGAGATATTTCGTATGAGCTTGATAGCATTAAGCTCAGTATATGATCTTTAAGATATTAGATGGATAACGGATTATAGATACACGGTAACTAAGGGTAAATAAGTCCAATGGATTAGATCCTTCTGTACCATTTGAGTATATGGCGTAGTGGCTTAGTACGTCCGTAATTAATGAGTTGAGCGAATTATTATGAAAATAATAATTCATTAAGTCAGAAGGAATTCTAACAGGTGTAACTCACGACCAGCTCGGTATTAGGCCTAGAGAGTCACAGACATATGGTAGACAAATGCGAAAAATAGAGGATCGGATATGGAATATAAGATAAGTCATTATTTCAATGGATCCTTGGAAGAGACCCGATAAAGCTTAAGATGGTTATTGGACAGGGATTTAATATCCATTAAGCCATTAGTTATTGGATGGAGATCCAATACCCAAAAGAAAATATCTATTAGGGTTAGTTAAAGGAGGCTCTCTATAAATAAGAGTTGGGACTAAAAGGGTCATAGACTAGACTCCTACTATCGCCACCTTCTACATCTCCTCCTTGCCCCTTCCTCAAACTGAATGCCCCCTCTCTGATAATAGCAAGAGGGACCAATCCCTCTTTGGTTGTTGCGCTATGGTGGTGCTTCATCCGTTAAGTGGATTATCACTAGAGAAGAGTTTACGAGAACTCCTTTATCCACAAACTCAAATACGCAAATTAGGAAATATACCATCTCCCCTAAATGAAAACTTAAATAGTACTATCAAATTCTTCTAGATTCTTTAGCTGGTGCTACAGTTATCAGATGTTCTAGCGGCTGCTAAAAAGTTGTTCCTTGACAACATCAGTGATTGAATTCCAAATTAGTTCTGAATAATAAATATTATCTGTACTAAAGTTTACACTTATGTGAAAGCATCCTCGTATGATGACCTCATATTTCCACTTGTTATGGCATGCTAGTGTTAGTGTTGTATTATCTTTAGCCTGACGTATCTTTTCTCCATTGAAAAGATTTAGTAGTGCTTTCTTCGTTGGATGACAAACATTCCAAGAGGTTGAATAAGTTTTGTGCTATTTGCTGCAGAGTTATATAGGAAATAGATGACATTCAAGAAGGATTTCAATGAATTACTCTTGCATCTTCGACGTATACTTGTGAAGGATGCATTGCACTCTGAAGAAAGTGTATCTGCATTGTCTAGAGATTACAATTCCAACATAAAAGAAAACAAACACAAGCAAGGGGAATTAAATATCCTTCTGCAAGCAGTTTTGGTCATAGATCTTAGTAATAAATATAGCCCGAGTTTAGTAGCTATGAGCACGCACAGGTGTCGAACATGGTGATGTATAATCTGCTCATGCAGCTTTCAAGCACTACTAACAGTGGCCTGGAAGCTGCACTTAGAAGAAGCCATCCAGGAGGTTGCACTTGAAATTTCCAGTAAAAGAAGTTGCATGCTGCACTCAACTAGATACGAAAGAAACCTTTCATGCTTCATCTTGCCAATGGATGCTTGATCACCCCTCGACTTTCGCCCAAAATGAAATTGCTACTTGTGAAATCTGCACCGGAGAAGAATGGCTTCTGATCATAGGTTTCATATTCCTGGGCCTGCCCCAACCAAAACTCAGCTTGGAGAACAATGAATTCAACTGATCGATTGACCTTAGTGGATTTAGTGGATGTTAGAGGAAAACAGGAAAGAATTTTGTTCAATATTTGCCTTGTTTCTTAACTCTTCCATATTCACCTCGATGTGTGTGAGACGTGCGGTTGTAAAGATAGTTATACCAAAATTTAAAGCTTTAAAAAACTACTTGTAATGTTATAATAATTGGTGAAATCGGCCTCTTTTGTGGAATTCATATGATCTTATAACTTCTGATGTTATCTCGGGATAATTACAGATTATCTCCTATAGTTACTTAGGATTGGTATCTCAATCCTCATACTTAAAAAAAAAAAGTAACATTGAGATCCCTACACTTAAAGTAAAATATTTAATCATAATTCTCTTCACATCATTAATTTTATCATAAATAAAAAAGAATACAAAATTAAATATATAAAAACTTCTATTTTTCTATCATGTGAATGGTAGACCATCGACAATGTTAGTAGTGTGTAAGGCCAATGGTGCAAGTGGCACGCGAGGCCGATGATGCCTCGGGGGAAAGGGGAATGGGACTTATAGCAAGGTGCGTGGAGCGATTCTCGATCTAGCCGATCATATTTCGTGCGTTGGAGATGGATGTGGCAGCGGGAGGTGCCTCCTGCTGTCCACTGTAGGACTCCCTCTTGGAGTCCCACCACATAAGGGAGTGGTAGAATTCCACCACCTCCAGTACATGCCTCATACTTGCTGTCAACGACCTGGAGGTTGGGGAGGTGGCTGTGCTCTGCCGTACAGTGTGGATTTTACCAATGGGGCTAGCGATGAAATCGATAGGAGGTATGCAAAGTTGGGCCTTTGCTTATTGCGAAGCAGGACATGGTATGGAAAAAAGATGACATGAGGCCAACATGTGAGGGTGGTGTTCCAAAGGAGATCCGAGCACCGGTGCTATCAACCTTACATGCCCCTAACATTGTCGATGGTCTACTGTCTATGAAATTATTTTTTTATCCTTTTCATTCACATCAAAATTGATGATACGAGGAGAATGGAGATTAAATATTTTATTTTTATAAATATATGGATTCCAATGTTACTTTTTACAATATAGGGATTGAAATTCTAATCCTAGATAACTAAATGGGGTAATATGTAATTACCCTGGTTATATCATCATATAGCACTTTGCGTAATGGTGCAAGTGCAAAAGAGAAAAAGGCATCCACAGCTCATGAACTTAAAGGCAATTGCAAAAAGAAAGCTACTTGGTTTCATCATTTACAGCAGTGAGGGTGTGAACCAGAAGGGTGGCTGGAAGAACACAGGAAATTTCCTGGTGTTTGGCAGAAAATTTGTCGATGAATATAAGCACTCCCACCTTCCCTTTTTCATATCAAACATTCTAGCTTTACGATAAATTAGCGTCCCTTCAGAATACGTCTCCGGGAAGAACTCCGTAAGATAGATGCAATTTCCTCTCATTCCTCGTAAATCCTCGGTAGAAATCGAAATAGAATTGCTGTTGCCCACCAATAGAGACATATTCCCCAAGTCCTTCACAACATCCCAACAAGGCTGGTCCTCGGAATATTGCAACCTGAGAACGATGACATCCTCCGATTTATTCACATCATATGGAAGTGCGTAGTCGATTGCAAGCTTCAAAACCAGGAACAGCTCCCCTGTGTTCGAGCATGCTAATTGTATACAGTAAGTACCCGCGGGGATGACACTAACAAGTGCTGAACTCCGGGCAATGATCGTCACTATAGGGCTAACTCCACTTAGGTCAAAAGCTATGACTTCACCTTTGCGCGTTATGCAGTAGAATTTGCCATCATGATGCATGATGTCCTTGTATGAATCATCGTTCTCGGTCAATGCCGTTTCAAGAAGATTCCACCTGTCTTCGCCCGACTTCGTGTAGGTGAGCTCCCAATCTGTAAATCTATAGATAGCCACGACAACATAGTTATGGACAGTAGGGTTTGAGGAGAAGACAATCTTTCCAATGCGCTTAGGATTGAATGCTTGGTGGTTAACTCGGTCGACGTTCCATCGGGCGACGTGGGAAGGGAGGCTGATATGATTCCCCGTAAGCGGATTTAGGAGGCTGACCTTTCGCTTCCAATCGGTGATCACAAACCAACCGGCGTGGGAGCCGACACACGTCATACCGCAGAGCTCGGGGAGAGAGGGGTAGGTGAAGGAGCACTTGTCGGGGAGAGAAAAAAAGGTAGAATTGTGCTGCTCACCGTCGTCGTCGGGTACGAAAAGCCACGGGGACCGGCTGATCACGGGAACAATTGCAGAATGCCAATCCTTGCATGTGGCACGGATGCGAGCACGATGTGGGATGGGAAACTCTTCGCTGATCTTTGCGAGGAGATCCGGAGGGAGCGACGTCCAATCGGGGCCGTGCATGGTGGTTTCTACCTCCGCTACCGGCGGTTCTTCTTTTCATTATATACGACACGAATACATTTGGGAGAGCGCTGGAATCGGGATGAGGACTCGGAACCGAAGACAATCTTTGATTTCCACTTTGAGACCGAGCCAAAGTTGTTTGAGCATAAAGGGGCAGACTTTTTGGTTTCTTTCGGTGATCCAAACACATAAATTGGAATGGATACACGCTTGACTTAACATATTTTCTATTTTACTCTTTTATCCAATTTGATAAAATAAGATTTTATAGCAGCTATAAATTATCTCTTTTTTTTAGAGAGTTTTAAAAGTTATATTAAAAATTTTATACTTATGAAAGTGAAACATTTAATCTCATTACTTTAATAAAATTTTTATTTTTATTCATATAAAATTATTTTTTAATCGATATACCATTATAAAAATTAAAATATAAAAAATAATTAATTATAGGAGTTACTCTATCATTATCCCGTTTTCCTTGTAGGAAGCACTTTACTATTTTTATTTTTTATTTTATATTTACCCTATTTACAGTTCCTATAGAACTCTCTTTCCAAAGTCAAAGGTTTCTTGCTGACCAACTATCATTTATTTCTTTCCTTCCTATTCCACTTTACTCACATTTTTTTTTTTATCTTGTACTGATTCTCCCTAGGTATCATTTACGTGCCTTTCCCCTTCTTTTTATTAATAAATATATTTATCATGATGCTTATTTTAATTGAGTTGAGGTGATTGCATTTGAGTGAATCTCTTATAAAAAATCTCTCTAGGGAGAGAGATAGAAACTACTTAAAAAATTTACATTTGAATCTATATAGATATGAAAGTAAAACATCTATCTCTATTTATCTAACACTATCAGCTTTACTAATGAAAGTATAAAAATAATAAATAAAAAGATAATTTTACTGGTCAATTGGTGATGATAAATGAAGTTGGTAGTGACAGAGTGATCCCATTAAGGGTCACGGATAATTGTTATAGATAAAGAGAGAGAGTGGCAATGAGAGTTGAGAGCCTCTGCATTGGTGTCGGCATTAGTGCAGTTATCAAGCAATGCGTTGACACAATTGTCGAGCGACGAAAGAGTCGCTTAGCATCTGCATCAATCTCAACGTAAATGCGTAGCGACATCACTTTGCATATGCATTGGCACTGATGCAGTTGTCGAGCAACACATCGATGTAGTTATCGAACAACAAAAGGGTTGTTCGACATCTGTTTTGGTACCAACATAGATACAGAGTGATGAAAGGGTCTTTTGATAATTGCATCATCATCGACATAGATATAGATGTTGAGTGGCTCTTTCGCTACTCAGCAATTGTATTAACATAGAAGTAGAGCGACGAAAGGACTAGTCGACAACTACGTCGACATCGAAACAAATGTAGAACAACCCTCACCTCTCATCCTTACTGTAGGAAAAATCTTGCGGTAACATCACATGCGCAGCGAAAGAACAAAAAAAAAATTTCAGATTCCTCTAAAGAAGTCTTATCGTTGTGCGAAGATTAGCACGCAAAAGTTGAAAAATAAAAAATTACACATATAAGAAATATATGCTACATAGGGAGATCGTATATCCCTAAAATCTTATATATCTATAAGAGAGGATGAAGGAGGTCAAGTGTCCTCCTGTCTAACGATGATCCACGCGACAGAGGCTGCGAAGATACTCCTCAAATCGTTGCTCAAATCTCCACATGCCCTAAATTAGGGCTGTTGGTTGAGGAGAAGAATGGGAGAAGAGAATAAGAGGTGTCAGCTAAAAAAGTCTAGCCTATGCCCTTTGGTTTTCTCCTATTTGTATAGGCCCCATGTCAACTTAACCTTAATGGATCATACGCTATTGGGTACTAAATCTCTATCTAACTATCTAAGCTTCTTAGATTAGTGGATCTCTACCCAATAATCTCTCATTGGCTCTTATTAAATCTTATATATAGGATCTAATAATTTAGGGACTTATTTGGATATCCAATAAGATAGGGGCTCTAATGAATATCTCATATATGAACCTCTACTCGTCGCAACACCTACCATATATGTGCGATCATTTAGGCCCAATATCGAGCTGGCCATGAGTCATACTTGTTAGAACTCCTTCTTGCTTAGTGAATTATTATCTCTATAACAATTCACTTGATTCATCGACTATAGACGTACTAGGCCACTACGTCATAGTCCCTAGATGATACAAGAAAATACAATCTATTGGACATGTCTATCCTCAATTTTCATGTATTTATAGTCCCTCATTTATCTAATATCCCAAAGATCATATATCGGGTATGGTGTTATCAGTCTCATACGGTTTCTATCAAGTCTCGCTCTAATCGGATTCTCTCAAAAAACTCTCTCTCTCAATCCGAATGACCCTGACTAGAGATTTGCCTAAGAAAAAATATATAATATATTACTCTCATGATACTGAGAGTGGATGATCTTCTATCGACACTCAATAACCTTCGTAAGGTTGGTTACCACTCCCGATGACTAATTATGTTATATTTGAAACATCCAAGTTTATAAGTTTGATATCAAATGGTGGAGTCCTCATACATAATATCATTGGTATCTCAAGTCTAAGGACCAGACACACCATTGGGATGATGGAATCACTGTCTTACAGTAAGGTATCATCAACCATCCAACATTCTGTGAGACAATCAATCAATGTACTTATTTTCCAATGAGCACCTGCGATATCTCTAGTGTCCCCATACAAGCAGCTATGAGACCAGCCACCTCTATCATATGGACGGGTATACAACACACCAATCGATCTAGTCATCTCGATGTCCCTCTTGAGTGATCTATGATTGAGATTATTTAGGGTTTGTGTTTAAAGATGAATCAGTCTCATTATCATGATCTCATCATAATCCGATTTCCATTGCACAGATCTATGCATATCATAATATATACAATAGACAATATAAATGAAAAAATATATCAAATAAATAATAAGCAAAAAGAGTGCTTGTCATGTCACACATTTCATCAATCATGTGATTTGGCTTGTATGGCACCTATGACTAGCAATCGATCGCCCTTCTCATCTACAACTATCAACAATGATGTTGTCGTCCGTCATTACTAACTAAAACGTTAAAATTACTAGTTACAGGTGCCTTATAAGTCAATCACGTAAGTGATGACATGTGTGATACATTGAATGATCTTTTTAGTTATTATTATTATGTCATTTTATTACGTTATATTGATGATGAATATATATTGTGATGTTCTTGGATCATGATGAGATCATGATAATAGATCAATTCGCCTATAAATATAAACCATAAATATTTCCTATCATAAGTTTCTCAAGAGGGATATCAAGATAACTAGACAGACCAGTGTGCTATACACCCATCCACATGATAAATTTAGTTGGTCTCATAGCTACTTGTGTGGGGACATTAGGGATATAGTGTAGATGTTCATTGGAGAATGAGTTCACTGAATGATCCGCTTACGGAACGCTGGTTAATTAATGCTACCTCATCGTCAAATAGCAAATTCATAGTCCTAGTTATGTGTCCGATCCTTAGACTTGAGATACCAAGGATGCTCTGTATAAGTATCTCACTCTTTGATACCAGTTTTATAGGTCTAGAAGTCTTAGATCTAGCACAATTGGTCATCAGGAGTGGTAATCAATTTTACGAGGGCAATTGAGTGTCAATAAAAGATTATTTACTCTCAGTATCATGAGAGAAATATCTTGCACTTTCATTTAAGTAAATCATTGACCATGGTCAATCGGATCGTGATGAATATGATAAATATGAGATTCAGATTGAGAGTAAATGAGTTTTCCAATAGAATCTGATTAGAGTGTGACTTTGAGATATTTCGTATGAGCTTGATAGCATTAAGCTCAGTATATGATCTTTAAGATATTAGATGGATAACGGATTATAGATACATGGTAACTGAGGGTAAATAGGTCCAATGGATTAGATCCTTCTATACCATTTGAGTATATGGCGTAGTGACTTAGTACGTCCGTAATTAATGAGTTGAGCGAATTATTATGAAAATAATAATTCATTAAGTCAGAAGAAATTCTAACAGGTGTAACTCACGATCAGCTCGGTATTGGGCCTAGAGAGTCACAGACATATGGTAGACAAATACGAAAAATAGAGGATCGGATATGGAATATAAGATAAGTCCTTATTTCAATTGATCCTTGGAAGAGACCCGATAAAGCTTAAGATGGTTATTGGATAGGGATTTAATATCCATTAAGCCATGAGTTATTGGATGGAGATCCAATACCCAAAAGAAAATATCTATTAGGGTTAGTTAAAGGAGGCTCTCTATAAATAAGAGTTGGGACTAAAATGGTCATAGACTAGACTTCTACTATCGCCACCTCCTACATCTCCTCCTTGCCCCTTCCTCAAACTGAATGCCCCATCTCTGATGATAGCAAGAGGGACCAATCCCTCTTTGGTTGTTGCACTATGGTGGTGCTGCATCCGTTATGTGGATTATCACTAGAGAAGAGTTTACGAGAACTCCTTTATCCACAAACTCAAATACGCAAATTAGGAAATATACCATCTCCCCTAAATGAAAACTT